CGCTCAGTATTGCCTCTTCAAATTTTTATACATGAGAGGTGTTCAAGAACTTTGGGGAAAATGCATAGCATGTAACAAATTACGCTTAGGGGCCAGCAGTGACACGGTAATTGGGGCAACTGAATTCCACATGACCAACTGCACAGCTTGAGTCCCAGACCAGCAGGCTGGAAGAGATGCCAGACATGTGTGTGCTGCACAAAATCCTGAGAGGAGAAGGGAGAAGGGATTACAGCAGGCCATCATCCCTGATGTGCTTTCTCACTTTCTCTCTCTTTCTGTCTCTTTCTCTCCAGCAAGCACACATGCCCTGTAGCAAAAATAAATAAATAAATAAAATACAATAAAAGATCAATATGGAAAAATTATGCTTCGGGAGGACCAGCAGGTGGCATATGGTTAAGGTGCTAGGCACTCCCACATGGTCAAGCACATTTTGAATCCCGGAACTGATGGCTTGCTTTCTCACTTTCTTTCTCTCTCTCTTGTCAAATTAAAATAAATGAATGAGTAAATAAAGTTAAATAAATCATTCTTTTTTTAAAAAAAATTATGCTTCGATTTCAGAAATACTTTTCCACCAAGATAGACAGATTTAATTCCATTTTCCAGGAACTTTTTGAAGACCACTCCTCTTCACATTTATCTACTTTTGCAGCCTAAAAATTTTATCTTGTTTACTCTGACCAGTTCATGACCCTAAAGGATAAACTAATTGAATTCAGAATTCATGCCTGCTTTCTCTGTATCCCAATAGATACAGAGAAAGTCAATAGATCTTTATAGGATGGATGAATAAATTCTACTTTCAACTGTCTAACTCAATACATGTATCCACCTTCGATATAGAGATTGGTTCCTGACATTTGATAACCTTTCAGTTCAGATCAAATTCAGCAATTTAAAATGAAGTTGCTTAAAACATACTGGCATGAGGAAAGGGCAGTCATCCGCTCTGCAGAGCTTGGTAACGCAATGTAGGAAGACAGTAGACATCTTCTGATTCTTGTGTTTCACGAATCGGAACACTTCGAAAGAAAACCGGCCACGTTGGCTCCTGCCATTTTCAATGACGGTAGTCTGAGGATCTTTGTCACAGCTACATTTTAGGGAATGTGGAAACAGGACGTCATTGCAAAGTACCAACCTTCTGGAAGTTGTAAATTGATTCTGACACTATTAAAGGTATTCCATTACATTAAGAGCTAATAGAACCATGCCATGTCACTGATATTTAATAAAAGCATAAGTTAATTCAACAGAAGTGACAAGGGTAATCTAGGTTATAAGATTATACAGATCAGTTTGTGATTACATTATTGCTGTCAATTTTAAAGGGATCACTTTCCTATGGTTCAAAACCTGAAATATGAAGCACATATGGTAAAAAGTCTCCATCTCGAGGTCAGTCAGGTGGCATGGTGGTTAAGGCAGCTGGATGCATGGTTTAAATCCTGGACTCAGCTGCTTGAAAAAAACACACCAAGCATGTGTGTGTTCATGCCCAAAATCCCAAGAGAAAAATGGAAGAGATGGGATTTCTCTCTCTCTCTCTCTTTGTCTCTGGCAAGCACAGATGCCTTATAGCGAATTTTAAAATTAATAAATTAATACATAATTAAAAGGGAAAAAAGTCTCCACATTATCTCTGCCTTTGCCTTTACCATTCCATGGCCACATAAAAGCCTGCCTGATGTGGTCTCATTTACTTTTGCATCATCCCAGGGTACGTGAGAATAGAAACAGAAGCAATGCATTTTTATTGTACTCCCCGTTAAACAAATGATAACACACTGTCTACACTGCTTAATATCTTGCCTTTTCAAATTTAATAGTGTATCTTAGATATTTTTCCATATTAATACTTAGCCTCCTCAAATTTGGTCCACAGGTGTGTGGTGTTGCATGGTTGACATGTGTCAGAATTTACTTAATCCATTCCCTATTTATATAGATTTGCATTTTTTAAAATCTTTGCTTTTTAAAAACAACAATAATGAGTAGTCTTATAATACATCGTTTCAAACATATACAGCATTACTTCTAAAATATATCTGTAAAATCATGTAACAGATATGGCCACATAGCCCTCTATAAATATTCTACTTTGGTCTTCACCAGAAATATATGAAAGCAATTCTTATTTCCCCAGAGTGACAACAATTAAGTATGCAAATAAAATGTTGAAATAATCCCTATTTTAGGTAAGAAAAAACTATCACTACATAATCTTAATATACATTTTTCTTTTTTCTTTTTAAAGATAACTTTATTTATATATTTATTCATTTTAATTTAATGAGAGAGAGTGAGAGAAAGCAGTTGCAATGTTCAGGACTTGAACTGTGGTCGGCTATGTGGGAGTCTAACGTTCTTAACAACCAAGCCATCTGCTGGCCCCAATATACATTTTACTTAATATGCGTTTGTATATACTTTTATATTCAATGGAGCAATTTGTGTTTCTTGATCTGAAATCAATGATGACCTTTGCAATGAAACAAATTCTATTGTGTTGTTCTTTTTCTGACTCCTACGGGTTCTTTGTGTGTTAGGAAGATGGCTCCTGTCTTGCTAGATACATTTCAAGTTTTCTTTGTTGTTTGGCTTTATGTATTTCTCTGTCTCTCTGTGTGTATGTGTGTGTGTCTGTACAAATTTTATTTTCATGTACTTACATTTTCAATATTTTATTTTATGGCTTCTGGTATTTTGGATGAAAATAATTTCTTTAGTCCAAGATTTTAAAGGTATTTCACATGTTACTTTTTTTCCCCACATGTTTTATTCTGTAATTTTAGAGCTTAGGTTTTACACTTAATCTATTAATAACTGCAGGATACTGTGGTGTGTTAAGTGAAGTATACATTCATTTTCTTTTTCACGTTTTTCATTGTCTGGCACTGTTTTTTTTGTTTGTTTGTTTGTTTTTAGAGAGATTTTTGTTATAAGGCACGTGCGCTCACTGGAGAGATAAAGAGAGACCAAGAGACAGAAAATGAGAAATCACTCCCCAGAGGGAATGGTCACACTCAATCCCTTTCCCTCTTTTCTCTTCTTGGGATTTAGGGCATGCATGCACATGTGCTCAGCATGGGTTTCAAGCAGCCAGGACCAGGACTTGAACCTTGGTCAACTATGTGGGAGTCCAGTGATGTAACCATTGCACCATCTGCTGGTCCCCTGGCATATTTTTTTAAGTCTCTATTTGGGGGGCAGTAGGTGTTGTAGTGGTTAAAACTCTGGACTTACACATGGCCCACCTCAGTTCAAGTTCAGGACCCGGTGGCCTGAAAATCACGATGGGAGTGTGTATGCGTGCCCAAAACCCCAGGAGGAGAATGAAAGAGAAGGGATTGCAGGCATAGCCATACCCCTTGGGAGGTGATTTCTTATTTCCCTCTCACTGTCTCTGTCTCTCTCCAGCAAGCACAGGTGCCCTATGATAAAAAAAATCTTAAAAATAAAATATAATTTTAAAAAAATACATTTTTTTAAAATCTCTGTTTGTGAGTCCTGCATCAGTGGCACAGGCAACCAAGCCCAATGTGTGACGACAGAGCCACATGGGAGGCCTGGTCTCAGATCTTGGTTGATCCCAGACAACCTGAGCACACTGGGTGCAAACACACACCTGTGATCCTGGCTGACTGGGGAGAAGACAGCAGCATGCCAAGACATTGTCAAGGGTCCCTGTCTCTTTGTCTCTCTCTTTTTTTTCTCTCTCATGAAAGAAATAAATTACATTAGCTTAAAAAAAATCTTTTTCTCACTGATTTGTGACACCACATTCTATCATTTTCCCACGTTTTGGGATCTATTTTCTCACTTATATTCTGATAACTTTTGTCTACACATTTAACTTTGTGTAATATCACATTCCTTTAATAATTTTAGAGCTTTTCTTAACTATTATATTTGGCAGGGATATACACTCCTCATTTCCATGTTGATTCCCTCATTGTCTTTTTGTATTTTGTAAAAGATTTGCCATTTATTCTGTTTTGTCTTGATTAGATTAGCATGTGATTTTAAAAAAAAAAAACTTACTTTTCTTAATTTATTACAAAATGTTCACATTTTCAATTTTTATCCAAGTTCTATTTTAAAATGTTTGAACTTCCAAGTAGAGGAGATTTTTGTTTTGTTTTGTTTTCTAATATTATTACAAATTGCTACCTCTCAATATATAGCTTGCCAATATGCAACTTAGAATTCATGTATCTTTACTTAATTGTTGGCCACCAGAAGTAAGTTTCCTGAGAAGTAGATAAAATTCTACAATTTTTATTGTATTTGTGACCACATATTTCTATATTTATCTTAGCTTCCACTTCATTAAATTTTGTCCAGGGAATCTTTTCACTATGTCAATGTAAGTTTCATTTTAAGTTAGGAAAATATTCCTAGATTATATTTTAAAACACTCATTCTATTATTTTTGCTTTTATGGGGGGTCCAATTGTGAATATTATACATATATCAAATTCCCTTTACCTACCTTTTATTTCTATCTTTCTTAATTCTTTTTTTAATCAATATTTGTTTCCTTTTCCTTTTTTTTTTTTTTTAGGTTTTTGCCATAGGGTACATGCACTAGCCAGAGAGAGACAGAGAGGCAGAAAGAGGGAAAGTGAAAAATAACCCCCCCCCAGGAGGATGACCACACGGCAATCCCTGCTCCATTCTGTTCCTGGGATTTTAGGCACACACACACACATACATTCACACAGTGTAATTTTCATGCTGCCAGGTCTGGGATTTGAACCGCAATGAATCATGTGGGAATATAACACCTTAATCACCAAGTGACCTGCTGGCCCACATTTGTTATTTTTACCCTATCTTTCCCATAGTGTGTTTTCTACTGTCTATAATTGCTTGAATACCTTCTAATTATGTCTTCCTTTGTGTAATACATTTGGTTCCTCTCTATTTCCACCTATTTTCTTTCTTTCTTTTTAGTTTTGCCAGAGGGCACATACACTCGCCCGAAAGATGGAAAGATGGAGAGAAAAAAAAAATCCCCCATGGGGAATAATCATTCCACAAACTCTTCTTGTCTGTTTCTACCTCCTTTCAGAATTTTGGGCACACACATACACACACACACGCACACACACACACACACACACGTCCAGTGTATTTCTCAAGCTGCTGAGCCCAGGGCTTGAAGTATGAGGTCAGCCACCTGGGTTCTGACTGCTCTAAGCACCAAGCCATGAAACTAGCCCTCTATTTCCACCCCAGGTTCTTCCAGCTCCTTTTAACATTCTTATAGCCTTACCTTTTACTACCCCTACTTACCTAAGTTCTTATAATTCTATCTTCATAACTATAATAACTTTTCAATTTTTAAAATTAATATGAAAATGTTTAATTACAAATCGTTTTAAATTTTTTCTTTAATTTTTTATTTCAATTTTTTATACATTCAATCACATGTTATTTAGCTTGCAAAGTGAACATTCCAACATGTGTACATTTCTCACCAGTCTGGCTAACAATACTGTAAAATTATCTTCAATAGATAATAACCCATTGTTTTGTCCCATAAGTGACCTTGCCTCTCTATTTTTCTCCTTAGTGTCCTTCCTCATGCTCTACAATGTCCCATGTCCCATGAATTTGCTAACCATCCTATTTGAAAGACTTGGATTTAACTAGATCTGTTGTTTTAAAAAGACCCCTATGACATCATGGAATGATAAGCAGAGCTCTCTCTGTTTTACACCAGTTTTCTTTGAATATGGTACAACTGCATGGCTGAGTTTTCTCTGTCTCTCGAAGACATTTATGAGGGTTTTATTATCAGCCCTGTAGTTCTCAGGTTCATTCACTAGTTTTGCAATCAACAATAGAGCCCCTACCTTCCCATGTTATTTCTTCAGCTTTAGAAGGTGTACTTTTTTTCTTTTTAATTTATTACTTATTTCTTTAGTGAGAGAGAGAGATTGAAAGACATCATCTCCAAGAGGGTCTTGATGCCATACACCCTGATCTTTAGACAACCCTGGATCCAAAGCACCCATATTCTGGGCTTCCTCAGGGAGGCTTCCAGACCTGAATCTGGAACTTTCCCATGTGCATTACCCTTGCAGAGCATCATGCTTTTGCACTGCACCATTCTCTAGGCCACTAGGAGCTATATTTTTGCTGGTACTGTAAGGGATCTACCACGTCTGAGGTTCTAAGAACCCTCTACACCTTCATTCTTCTTATTTCCCCAGTCCAGGTGACCACTTGATCTCAGCCCTGTGCTAGTGATCCCCACTCAGAGTAGTACCCTCTCTTTCCAAGTTTGCATTTTTCCTGCTCCACTAGGACCCCTCAATATATACTTTTCTTCTCTCCTTTTCCTACCACTTGTATCCACATTGCTTCTTGCAAATCTCTCTCTGCACTGTTAATATCCTACTGATATTAACAGCTTTTACCAATGTTCACATATTTTTAAATGTCTAGATTTCTTTTTTCTCTAAGATTCACAAAAAGTGGCATTTGGGGGACATTTTTTAGTTACCTGATTCACTCTCTATAGTTTCCAATAAGAAAACTAGAGTCTGAACTAAGCTACCACCATATTCATGCTAGAAATCTAATGATCATATTACAGATTCTCAATGTTTGATCACTATAGAAAATTTTGGAAAATGAAAGAAATGTCAAAACAAAAGTACCTCTAATTCTGCTACGTGTGCATAATCACTATGAACCTTCAGACTTTTATCTTCCTGTCTTTTCTATTATATAAATGAGGTCCATCACATATAGGAATGTATAGGCTGATTTCTTTCTCCCTCACATTTTGATATATTTCAATTTTAAGGATCACATATTTAAAAGGACATAGATACCAATAAGACATAAATGGAAAAGGTAAAATAGAACTGACAACCTTTTCCATTTAGTAAATAACTTTATGTGATTGGAAAGCCTGAGTGAGCTCCCAGTTTATGGGTTTTCCATAGTTCACCTATCCATGTTCTTACTGCTGAATACACAGTTTAGAACTATGTTTTACCATTTTTAAATATCACTGTTAGACAAAAACATCATAAATATTTAAAAATATACTTTACTTCACAATTTATAAAATAGAATAAAAAATATTAAATCTTTGAAAACTTTTGATACATACCCATTTTCCCCCAAAAGTTGTTGCCTAAATGAACACTTCCTTCCAGCAATAGGATGTATGAGTGTCGGTGTGACCACGTCCTCTGATTATTATCGTAACCTTGACTAGCCAATCACAATGTCTGTCTTTGGTTTCCCATTAAATCATCCCCATTCCGTGTCAATAAGTTGCAGTGATCTGAGCCAGCTGCATTTCATAAGCATGATTAGAAGCCATTGCTTGACTTCAAGTCTGTTCTGTTGTCAGATAAAAATGCTGAAAAGGAGCTGGGATGACTGAATGGGTTTATGATCAATGTCCCCTTTTCTCAAATGTAGATTACATGCACTCTATCACTGTCTTTTGGGGAATGAAGTTGAAGTTATTGGCTCTGATAAAAAAGGAGTGGTAGGCTCTATTATGGCTTCATATTAAATACTGATAAATGAACAAAAGTATTTTGGGGTCTAAATTACCAAGACTATTACTTTGATTTTACACTCCTCTGACATATCAGACAGTCTACTTACAGATAAATATGCAGCACTTTCCCACTGCCTTCCTTTTCTTTAGAATAATATCCTAACCTTACTTTTCCTAAGACAGTGAACTATGTCCATATCTCTTAAACATGAATAAAACACCTTTGGTAAATCTAACTTACAACTCTCATTCAGCAATAGCCTTATCAGCATTTTGTGTTCTCAACATTTATACTTCCAGCTTTGCAAGAACTAAAAGTTCAAAATATATCATTTAAATTCAAAAGTTAGAAGAATACTCTATAATTGGTTTACCTGAGAGATATTCTATTTCACCTATCTACTGCTGGGTTGTTGGTATCAATATAAGACTTAGACACTTACCTCAGGAAAAGATCATATCGAATTTCATCATTTGGATTCCCAGATGGGGTCGTGTAGCAATAATCCATTAAGACATTCCATCTGCAAAAAGCAGCAAATATAAAATCAGAATCTCCTTTTCAGTGTTGGTTACTGATTCAAAAGAAATCAGTATTGGCAAACTTTTTTGTGGGGGGTGGGGGGTGGAGAGGTTTTGCTATGAGTGTATGTTAGTCAGAAAGAGAGAGACAGGAAGTGAGAAATCATCCCCCAGGGGGAATGGCCACACCGCAGTCCCTTCTCCTCCATTCTCCTCTCGGGATCTTGTGTACGCAAGCACATACGCCTGGAGTGAGTTTAAGCCACTGGGTCCGCAACTTGAGCCCCGTTGACTACATGGGAGTCCAGTGACATAGCCATTACGCCAACTGCTGGTACCATTGACAAACATTTTATCCATTTGAATAGAGCTTTTTATTACTTGTAATTTGCAGAGGCTTCTTATGTATTGAAACTTTCTCCTAAAATCAAGATATTTAAAAATCTACAACACATTGCCATCTCCACATCAAATGGAGTTAAGGTTAATCTCACACGTACACACACGAAATTTGTGTACAAAGCAACAGAGTGATCAATGTCTGAAGAAACTAAACCCAACAGTGAACTACATAGATGTACAGATACTTATTTGTTTATTCTGAACAATGGCCTTTGTTTTCAGAAGTGATTTTTTTCTAACAGAAGACAAAGAATATAATACCAAAAACAGCAAAAGAATTTGGTGTATAAATTATACAGCAGAATCTGTGGGAATGGAGAGCCTATAATAGACAATGTGTTAGGTAGAGGAAAATTATGAGACAGATACACACCATTCCTCCACAAAGCCAGGTTGTGCCTGTATTTACCACATTACTTCATTCCAACTCTGAGTATTATAAAAAAATACCAATCCACTGAAGTGAATGCCAATCAAATGAAAAAAAATCTGCATTTAGTAAGACAATTTTAAAGAGTCACATGAATCTATCAGTCGAAATACTGAGGGAGAAAATAAAGAAGAGGTAAATTTCTAGCATATTCTAATCTCTTCAGGATGTAGGGTTTAAATAATATATAGGAAACCCTAAGTCAATCATGAATGTGTTAAATGTTTTAAAGATTATTTAATTTAATTTGTTTGTTTATTTTAACAATCCCCAGAGAGGGACAGAGTAAGAGAGAGGAAAAGTGAAAAAGCAAGCTACCAGGTCTGGGATTCGAACTGCTTTTGGCCATGTGGGAGTCCAGTGCCCTTAACCACCATGCCACCTGCCAGCCCCAACTTACATGTTTTATGTAAGGCAGGATTATATTAGCTTTTGAGTTTCATTCAGGTTGAGTATTCTGAATTTTTGATACTTAATTGATTTTAGTGTTTTTGTTTTTTTTGTTTTGTTTTGTTTTGCTTTGCTTTGTTTTTGGAGAGGTTTTTGTTATAGGATGTGTGCACTCGCCAGACAGAGAGAGACACAGAGACAGAAAGCAAGAAATCATCCCCCGGGGGGATGGCCACACCGCAATCCCTTCTCCTCTGTTCTCCTCTTGGGATCTTGGGCACACACTCACACGCGCTCGGCATGAGTTTTAAGCCACCAGGTCCAGGACGCGAACCGTGGTCGACTACATGGGAGTCCAGCAACATAGCCATTACACTAACTGCTCTCCCAATTTTAGTGTTTTTACAGAGAAATTTTGGGGACAATTTCATATCGTTTTGGCTTAGATCTTTGTGGGAAGATTTCTTTTGTTTTTTTAAATTTGTATTGAATAATAATAATATACATACATAAAAATGCACAAATCCAAAATATTCACAAAATGACTGCATCTGGTTTATCATCTTTCATAGAAAGAAATAGAACATTCCAATATTCCAGATCACTCCATGCCCTCTTCCAGTCACTACCCTTTTTTATTTATGGGAAAACTGTTATTTTCCAATTAATGGCATACAATGAGTGTCTCTCCTTAAGTTTAGTAATTTGTAATTTCTTTATATGAGCATGCCTAAATGGTGTGGTAATGACAGTATTTTTCAAATTGAATTTAAACATGAATGAGCTAACTTTATGACTCAACGAGGCTTTAGGCAGCCAAAATGTTTTAACCAACAAAAGATAAGAGTTTGAAAATACCTGCCATCCAGATTAGTGGCTTGTACAGCTGCAAATACTTTGGTTTTCAAAGGTAATCCTATACTTGGAATAATTAACTGCTGACTGTAGGTTGAATCCTAACGATGAAACAAGAAACAAATTATCATTAACTCCCAAGCAATAGCATGCTTACTCCTTAAAACAATGTTATAGGGAAAAAGAGAGAAAGAGAAAGAGAGAGAGGGGAGAGCATATATCAACACAAAAGTACAGAACCAACTCCACAAAAAATTTATTTAATCCTGTTTCCTTAGCAGAACTGATTTTTAAACCATGTCCATGTAATAGTTGATTTCTGTACATAAATTTTTTTGTTTCCACATTTAATCATAAATGGTAATTAATGTTTGCTGGATTAAACTATATTCAATGGTCAGTGGTTACTCAATTTGTTAATATTCCATGGTCAATCTATAGTTTACATTAATATTCCATTAAAAAATGTGTTAGTGGCTAATATTACTTAAATTTATTTGCTTCAATTTAAGCACAGTATTATAGGGGGTAAAGATCTTATAACATTGATAATCTTTCATTTAACTGATATCAATTATATGGCAATTTGAAATTATCAAAATTTATTTGAAAAACAAAAAAGAGATCAGTCCATTCTTCAAATTCCCAAAATGTATGCCATAACATTTATGCTTTTCTCCCCAATTTGCAGATGAATAAAGCAGCAGATTATAAATGAGAATTTTATATTGATAGTGAAGAAACCAGAAAAAATGTAGAATGCAAAAAAATACATAAAAATTTAACCAGTCACATAACTTAACATAAAGGCCAATTGCTTCCCCAAATTTATTCTCTGAGGATATTGCCATGTCAGAAAAGAAAAGTTTTAAACTTAATTATGAATTTTTTTTTGAAGAGGTTTTTGCTATAGGGCGTGTGTGCTCGCCAGACAGAGAGAGACAGAGAGACAGAAAATGAGAAATCACCCCCCAGGGGGGATGACCACGCAGCATTCTCCATTCTCCTCTCAGGATCTTGGGCACGCACGCACACGCACCCAGCATGAGTTTAAGCCACCGGGTCCAGGACTCGAACCATGGTCAACTACGTGGGAGTCCAGTGACATAGCCATTACACCAACTGCTGGTCCCCTTAATTATGAAATTTAAAGTCATCAAAGAATGGCAAAATATGGAGCATACAATGCTTAGAAGATTAGAAAGAATGAATATATTTTGAATTTTTTAGCTTAAAACTTTGGTTGATCCACTTTTGAAAAAAACATTTATTTCTCTTAGTATGATTTCTGGTTTACACATATTTGATGTACATCTTTGAAGGGTACAGTATGGTTTTTCAAAGCATGCATACAGTATGTATTAATGAAATCAAACATACAACACTGACCATAGTATTATGTTGTGTGCATTTGATAATATACTAGTTTTTCTTTTTGGGGGGAAGTGTGTATCAAAATGTCCATATTTTTTTACTCTATATGTGAAACATTTCATTCCCCAATAAAATCAGATAAAGGATTATATGCAATAGTTGGAAACGTCCTCTTCAGTCTTATTCTAAACTTATGTGATAAATGATAATACCTTTTCTAACTATGTCTGGTAGGTAACATCTTTATTTATCTTTCTGGCTCCCTTTTCAAATTTCTTGATTCCGCTTCATTAACTATATCGCGTTTTCATCTAATATTTGCATATATATTGTCAAAAGAAAACTTGTTTTCAATACAAGTGTTATTCTGCTGACTCATTCGCAAATGACGTGACTCAGCTATGTCACAATGATTAACCTTGGTGGACTTAATTATGACCCAACAAGGTTTTTTATTCCTTTTGAAATTACTTCTAAAAGGTAATTTTCTCACTATATTCTGTATGTTGTCTTACTCTTATTAGTACTCTATTGTCCCTAAAATCAATTATATGTATTTTAGTCTTTGTCCAACGTTTTAAAAATATTCACAATTACTGTAACCCTTTCTCAGATTTACTGTTTTTGGACATGCACAGAAAACACTAACATGTATATACACTTCAAATACACAAAAACGTTCTCACTTTCCATTTCCACAGAGGAGAGAACTGATATATTTATATTACATAAAATAAGGCCACAGATCAGTTTGAAATTCCCTGTATATGTGCAAAATTACACAATCAATATAAGTCACTGTTTTTTTTTTACAAATGGAGTTATCCTAAATATACTTACTGAATTGCAGAACAAATAGAATTAAAACAATTGTGCTATATCTAAATTGGTGCAACTTTTTCTTTCCAAATAACAAACAAGAGAGTAAGAGTAGTAGGTATGTAATTTAACCTTTCATCATTCCTAAAGGTTAGCAATCACAAACTTTGCATAGAAATAGGAAGACAGGGCCCCTACAGATATAACATTATGTTTTACGTGAAATGTTACAGTGAAATTACATTTGATTAACAATATATTGATATTCTAAACAAATAATAAAAATAATTTCTGAACAGTTAGAGAAAATATATCCATTTTTTTTTCTTAGGTAAATTACTAATTATTTCATGTCCTATAATGTAGGAAAATACTATCATGGCACCCTGTTAAAAAAACTTTCAGTGCACCAGCACCAGGCTGCATGGTGTTTAAGGCAGTGGATCCCACATGACCAACTGGGCAGCCCAAGTCCCAGACCACGTGACTTGAAAATCATGCCAGGTACATGTGTGTCCATGTCTCAAAGCCTGGGAGGATAATGAAGAAGGTTTGTGCTGTGGCCATCCTTCAGAGGGAGAGGGATTCTATTTCATTTTCCCTTTCTTTGTCTCTTTTTCTATCTCTCTTAGGTGAGTACATTTACCTGTAGCAATTTATTTTTAAATTTAGTTTGGGGCACTAAAACTGTATGATACATTTCATGATGGGCACTTGCCATTATATAGTTCTTAAAATCTATAGACCATAAAATCTATAGACCAGGAATAGTGAACCTAAATGTAAACTATAGACTTTAGCTAATAATGTATCAATATTGGCTCATCAATTGTGAGAAGTGTATGACACAAATGCTGAATATAAATAATAGAGAAAATTGTGTGCAGAGCAAGTGGGCATATGTGGGAATTCTATGTATTTTCTGAAAGTTTTTCTGTAAAACTAAAGCTACTGTAAAACTAAAGAAGTCTTTTTGTTAAAAAAATAAACAATTACAGCAAAATGAATTCTGCTAAAAAAATGGTTACTGAAAACATTTTAATTATTTTTTTAAGTTAACAACTAATAATGCTTTTATCATAAACTGATTTAAAATGAGAGGTATTTTGGTACCACCTGTTTCATACAGTCTGATATTGAAAAAATGGTTTTTTTATCACCATGGAATTAAAATATTAAGGTTAAAATAAATTATAGGCTTTTATTTAGCATTAAGATTCCAAAAACTCCTTGAAGGCTTATGACTTGTTAGCAACGGGGCTACATGACCATTCTTACTGCTAAAGGAAAGACTTTAATAGCAAAAGCTCTCTTCAGACCTACATTTCTAACTTTTGATTTTCTGCTTTTTCAGTGAAAGAATAGTTTAATTTCATAGAAAATAATGGTACCATAAAATGCCATGTGGATTTATTTCTCACTTTTTTAAGATTGGGAATTCTCATCTTTGTCTCACTCAATTATAGTAAGAAATATTGAATTCAAACTCACTTCTACCTCGAAGAACTTACAAATATAAATCAACAACTAGAAACTTTATAATTTAAAGTTATCCATATAAATATCACTCACAACAATAGTACATATCTGACCATCTCAGGAACAAATATTGGCATGTATTTTCTGAGTATTGTAGAACCAAGTAACCTGGGAGCTTTTCTTTGCAGAAGAAAGTTTAGAAATGACAGAAAGGCAATCTTCATTCCAACACATTTTAATTTGTTGTTTAGAACTCCGTGGTGTCAGACTACAAACTTATAAACATGATTTTTTTTTAAATGTCTTTGGAAAATGTCCTACTACAATATTTATAGCTCATTATATTCAAAGTATAAAGCACTGACTTTTAAATCAGTCGCATGAATTATAACTGGCTGCCATGATGACATGAATAATAATACAAAAATCAGATTCATAATTTACAAAAATGTTGGTTGATAGATTGAAAAATTGATATTTAAATCAGGCATTTAAAATGTATGAATAAAAATTTTTAATCAACATGAAAATATCATTTGGGGGATTAATGTTACAGTTATAAATAGAAATCCATGTATTTTTCACGTTTTGCTGCCACCATTGATATTTACATGACAAAAGTTTAGACAATGCTACATAGTCAATCCTAATTATTTCATGCGACAAAATTGTCATCAGCCAAGACTCATATTAAAAATATTAACACATTCATCACCAAGGGTACTCCTAGAGAAGCATCATTTGGACTTTTTTTTTTAAAGGTTTTCACTCTAGGGCGTGTGCACTCACCAGACAGAGAGAGACATAGAGACAGAAAGCTAGAAATCAGCCCCCAGGGGCGATGGTCACGCCGCAATCCCTTCTCCTCCATTCTCCTCTCGGGATCTTGGGCACGCACGCACACGTGCCCAGCATGAGTTTTAAGCCACCAGGTCCGGGACGCGAACCATGGTCGACTACGTGGGAGTCCAGCGACATAGCCATTATGCTAACTGCTGGTTCCCTGGACTTTTTTTTTAATCTTTTTATCACAAAAAAATAGTATTTCCCAAATCTTGACCCTGACTATAACTATACATGCATAAGTCAGTACATATAAATATAGACCAATGCTTGGAGTCACTATTACAGAAGCACGTTTATGCTATATAATTTTAGCCATGTTTCAACTTTTAGAAAATTTAATAGAATTTTTAGGATATTTTTATCACTAAGACATATGAGTAAATATTGCCAAAGTATAATGGGGTTAATATGGTTTCAGTAGAATTTTCTATAAAAGCCGTTCACAAAAATGGCTCCTCACAGCAGTGAAAGAAAAAATAACACCCTTCACCCATCAACTTACGTTATAAAGAAGCAGGTTCAAAGTACTGACAAATGTGCCGTTGTTTTCTCTCACAGAAATAGCAGCTGAAGACCTAAAACAGATTTGAAAAAGAAAAATATTGGTGATATTTTGTGTCAAAGTTTCAGTTACACCTGGGTATTAGATTTAAGGCAATGAAACTCTTGAGTAAGCTTGACACACTTTTAACTAGGCCTAGAGTGAGCGTACTCTTAAATTACTAAACAGATATATAATCAAAAAGCAAGTGGGATCAAGTAAAAACAAACTGTTCTGTATGATCTTTTCACTTATAAAGTCTTTTTTTTTTCATTTTGTATTTTATATATATGAAACCTTTTGCAAAGAAAATTGACTTCATAAGAACTTGGATCTTATGCAAATACATTCATTTATTCCATTAGAACAGAAGATGCAAGAGATCAGAGCATTCGCTTTACTTTGTTCACTGCCAGAACATTGCATGGTAAATAGTAGGTGTGTATTAAATTGAATAATGAATGGATTTCCATGGACACTGAAACTCAAAAACGTGTTCAGTGGTGGGTGGGACAGAATGAGACATGGTTCCCTCTCAACCTTTCATCTTATTGACTCAAGGTCTTTTCTTTTCTCATGTTCAGCTTTGAGTCTTACTTTGACCAAGGTGTTTATCTACATTGTATTAATACAACCAGCTATGAATACTTAAAAACTAAAGCAAAATGTGTACTCCACATTCCCTCATAACTAAGATTAAACAAAAACTCGGACTTCATAATGGCAAACCCCAGAATTGGAGAGGGAAAGTTTTAGCTCAATCACCTCATTTTGTGAAAGACATTTCACAAATCCAGGTGATTATGTTGTAATACGGATATAACCCTGTCCTGGTGTATATACTCTTTGAAAACACTAAATGAATACTTGACTATTAACGAAGGGCTCTAACCTCAGTTCATGTCTAGAGCTCCTTGGTTCTGGGTCCTGCCACTTTTCCTGGGGAATCACTGGAACCCATGACGGTAATCTTGGGTAGTGGATTCTACTACACCCTACGGGGCCTTCAGGGAGCTAAGAAACTCAAGGCAGACCCCTGAATGGTTTGAGCCAGTGTGTATGTGTGTGTGTATTCTGAGCTGTATAGGTCATAACAATTAGCTGGAGATTGATAAATGATATATACATAGATAAAGATAGACTTAAGATGGTCCTATTACATTGTTTGAGTTTGGCTATGCTCCACAAATCCTGCTATCTTTATAAGTCTCTCAAGGACAATAAATGACTCAAATATGAAGACAATACAATAAAGTAAGAAGGAAATGTGAACTTACGAAGCAAGCTGGGTATTATTAACCAGATATTCCAAAGGATAACTACAACTAAATTTGTAAAGAAGCCCAGGTAGATAGCTGATGATTGTTGGTGGATCTGGAGTATCAATATATCCTGAAATATTTCCTATTTGTACTGAAGTTGTATTTCCATAAGCACTGACTCCAGGGATTGTGGATACCTGTTAGAATGGTAGATCAAGTTCAGTGATTAAATGGTTGGGCATAAATCTAAGCACATCCTACCCAAAATAACACATTAGACCTGATCACTTTTAGAACAGTGTTCAGCTGTAACACAGTTTTGAAATTATAGAGTCATAATGCAATTTGTAAGTAACTACCTGTCAATTGAAAAATGACACCATACTCGTATTTCATAAATAAGAAAACAAAGAGATCATAGGATCAGAGAACTCTAACAAGTCATTTGAAAAGACTCCTGTATTGGGTTAGCCTGTAGCCAAGTGGTTAAGGGAGCTGGGTCCCACATGGCTGACTTCAGTTCAAATCTCAGTCCAGGGGGCTTGAAAAACACGTGAAAAATGTGTGCATGTGTGCCCCAAGTCCTGACAGGATAGAGAAATGGAAGATCACATCCCACTGGGGAAGGTGCATTCTCCCTTATCTCTTTCTCTCTCTATCTCTCTCTCCCAATCTCTGTCTCTTTCTGGAAAGCAAACAGACCCTCTGGCAATTACAAAAATGCTACTCATGGGTAAAGTTCAAAATTTCTGGCATGCCTTAAAAGGTCCCAGTTACACTGGCATGACCCTGCTTTTATTGTTAACTTTTTGTTTCCCACCTTGATTAATAAAATGCTAGCCCCAAAGCCCTTGTTTCTCTGGCCTTTATTTATGCACACTCCTTCAACCTCCTCTCTCCCCTCCTTCACCAGGTGCTGTTCTATCACTCTCTAGGGTCTTATCTTTCCTGGGAAACTTCTAATTCTCCCACATGCCATGTTTATCCCTGTCATAGCAGGAGCCAACGTGCAATGAGCAGCCTGCCCATCTGACCCTCAGCCATAATCGGAGCTCTTTTGGGGAAAGTCCCTCTTGGTCTTGTTCACCTTTGCATAGCAGGGACCAGCATCTTGAGGCCCAGAAAGAATTTGTGAACAAATGAATTAAAGTCACACATTTTCTGGAGTTTTATCTTTTTAAGATCTTCTTCTTTGGTTCAAGGAGAGTCTTATTTCTTTCTACAGCAATAGTTCATAAATGGGTTTCAGGGAGATCATGAACTCCAAGAAGTTAAGTGCATATTTTCTTGGATTGCCTAACTTTCACTGGATTCTCCAATTCTACTAAAATTGAATAACCACCCACCATTGTAAGAATAATCAATAAGATTCTTGACTTTCATAAAACTAGAGAGGGACACAGCTTCTTCTTCCATGTCAGATACAATATGGAACTCAATAAATATTTAACAGATATTACTGAGCCCTGTAATATCTAATTTTCAATAATAGAATAACCTTTATGTGTGAACAGCACATGGGCAAAGCTGAGGCAATAATCTAGCTGATATATGAAAGGGGCAAAAATCCTCATAAAGGAAAACATTTTTTCTAATCCAGTGATTCGGTAGTCTATTTTTTGCATAAAGGAATGCCCTTGAAAAAAGCTGATGTTGATGAAAGCAAAAAATAGATAAGCAAAGATTCCCTTTCCCCAGTGCTTGCCTAATGCACTAGCTAAACATATCAATTCTGTGAAAAACCACACACACACACACAGACACACACACACAGACACAGACACACACATTATTTTTATGAGAGTTATTTGTTCCTTCAACAAAGTAAAAAGCATACATGCACACAGATGCTTTTCCTGACTTTTTCCTGAATTGTTTTCTAGGAAGCAGGGCAAGGTGACTTAGCAGAAAAATCACCATGAAAGAGGGTTTCTAGGCACAGTGGGAGGAGGGGAAAGCTGTTCATCTCCTTGCAGGCTCCCTCCCTTCACAAGAACAGCAGGATGTGTAATAATCAACCCTAGTCACTCTCCCGGAGGCCCACTTCATAATCTCTCTGCACACAACGCTGAGATGAATAAACGTTTTTAATAAAAAGAGTCAACAATACCCAAGCTGCAGGCTTGGAAATGGCCATGGGCACGATATTCTAACTGCCCTCTGGGAAAAGATTAAAAAGGAGATTCAAGGAAATCTCTTTTCCCTGTCTTCCATCTCCCAGCAAGTTTTAGAAGCTCTGCCTTAAAATAATCAAGACTTTCTCCTACATCCTAAGCAACGATTTATGAAGAATAAAAGCCAGCTTTTCCTTCCTCACTAAGTGGGCACGCTTATTGTACCTTTTTGTCTTTGCTAGCTTTACCAATAAGGTTATGTTTAAATAGGCAAAATGAAAAATTATACTAAATCCATTTTAGTGTAACTAATACCGCATCACAATATATTCACTCCAATTAATTTCAATTCCCTGGAGACGCAATTTCTTATTCGATTCTATTTTTGGCATCCAGTGCATTAATAAATAAGTGAATTATGTGGACTAGTAGTTCTCATCTTGGATGGCAATGGTTGATGAGATGTTTTGATTCCCACAATGACTGCAGAGAGTGTGTTGCTGGGATTTCATGGCAAGATCAGATATGAATGCCAAGGACAGTACTACACCGTAGAACACTTCACATCAGAAATACCCACAGTCCTTGTACAAAGCCCTGTATTGATCACTCAGTAGCAAACATGAAAGAAGATTTCAGGTTCCCATTCTATCTTTCATCTTCCTGTCTCAAGGAGGCCACTAAAGCAACAGGCTAAATGGTTCACTGACAAACTCACCCACATTGTTCTTATGATCAGATAGTCCCGTAAAAAGTATGAGGGATATGGCTAATGATAATCTATAGAGAAACATCGTGATGGCTCGCACAAAAGAATGCTGCTTGGAGTAGCACAACTGACCTCAGTCCCCTCAGCTGCCCAGCTCCTATACACAGAGCCATTATCGGAAGACAATATTACGTATTTGGGAGTTCAAGCCTCTAACAGGCAAAATAAATTATGTGTCCAGTTTGACTGAAAATTTTTTAAAAAGATAGATTTGGCTTCTGTTTATTTCATGTAATGGTTGGTTATTTTAATTTATGACCCCAAACCTAGCACACAATTTCATACTAATCTTACCACTAAGTTGTTTCCACAGCCCTCCAAAGTGCTGAGATTGATGATGAAAATGACCACGGCTGGAAAGGTGTTGTTATTGATGAACCCCCTGCAGTGGGAATCCCCATGCCTTCCGTTCAGTGCCAGATCTGTTTCAGAATAACCCGAGAAAAGTACTGTGCAAAAATTAATCTTCATCGTAATGGCCTGCACCCCACAGTACACATTGATGTCTCTTTCAGCTGAAATAAAAACATATTGAAAAAAAAATATATATATATATATGTCACAAAAGCACAGTAGAAAGCACACGAATAACTTTGATATCCCCTGACATACTCAGTCTACTCCTTAGTTTGTTTAACTCATTTCTGGAGTTGAATATACCATACTCCAATGTTCAAGCTATTAAGAAAAGTAGCCAGGAAAAATAGTCTTTTCTGTAGTTATTTATAATGATATGTTTCAGTATACAGAGTGTAATTTACTATTTTTTTTAAAAAAAGTTTTTTGGTTTAGGGTGCATGTGCTTGCCAGAGAGAGAGAGAGACAGAAACAGTAAAAGGGAAAGTGAGAAATCACCACCCTGGGAGGATGACTACATCACAGTCTCTCCTTGGGCATGCATGCACATGTGCCAGGCATGATTTTCAAGCCACCGGGTCCAGGACTCAAAACGTCATTGACCATGTGAGAGTCCAACGAAGTAACAGCTACTTCATCTTCTGGTCCCTATTAACATTTACTTATGTCTGGTGTTCAGTGATGCACATTAAATGTCAGTCTAGTATTGGTGTATAATCACAGAATTAAGTGGAAAAAAATCAGGTTACTGAAGAAATTCAGAACTAGAATGACGAAATTATTAAGATCATCTATATAGAGTAGTGAAAGTCACTATAAATGATGCATTTTCCCAAGAGTAAGGAAGAAATGGCTAAAATTTATTCTAAGCCAAACTGTTAAGTAGTTCGGTATTTGGTAACCTATCTGATCCAAGATATAGAAACAAAAGCCATCCATCAGAATCCCATTTTAGAGAGAAAGACAGTGAAAATCATGTGCTAATATTACAAACAAAACACATAGCTTGCTCCAAGAAAATGTTGCCTCAGTAAAAGGAAAATTTTCAAGCCACCGGGTCCAGGACTCAAAACGTCATTGACCATGTGAGAGTCCAACGAAGTAACAGCTACTTCATCTTCTGGTCCCTATTAACATTTACTTATGTCTGGTGTTCAGTGATGCACATTAAATGTCAGTCTAGTATTGGTGTATAATCACAGAATTAAGTGGAAAAAAATCAGGTTACTGAAGAAATTCAGAACTAGAATGACGAAATTATTAAGATCATCTATATAGAGTAGTGAAAGTCACTATAAATGATGCATTTTCCCAAGAGTAAGGAAGAAATGGCTAAAATTTATTCTAAGCCAAACTGTTAAGTAGTTCGGTATTTGGTAACCTATCTGATCCAAGATATAGAAACAAAAGCCATCCATCAGAATCCCATTTTAGAGAGAAAGACAGTGAAAATCATGTGCTAATATTACAAACAAAACACATAGCTTGCTCCAAGAAAATGTTGCCTCAGTAAAAGGAAAACACCAGCCATGGAAACGTAAAACACAATTCGCTCAGCTCTCCATGACTCTATGCGTTAACCGTGATGGGATCCATCCCAGGTCTGTAGAAAAATGAGCATGTGTGCATACACCCACGCACAAGATTTTCATATCTCTAGTCATTTTTCTACAGATAAAAAAACAACATGAATATAGAAAATGGAAAGTTTGACTGCTAGGTAATTCCCCAGCGGCAGAAAATTTTATTTTTATCAGTTTTGGTAACTATTACGAATTGGATTGTGCCCTCCCCTCAAAAAAGATGTGTTGAAGTTCTAACCCCCAGGAGCTCAGACTTTATTTGGAAATAGGTTTGTTGCAATCTATCAGTTAATATAAAGTCATATTGGAGGAGGGTGTGCCTTTAATCTCATATCCCTCGTGTCCTTCTGAAAGAAATGTCTTGTGAAGAGACAAGGACTATGTGAAAACAGGGTGGGGTGACACATCTGTAAGCCAAGGTGCACCCACAATTGCCAGCAGGCCTCTAGAAATTAGGAAGAGACAAGGCAGATTCTTTACGGGCTCTCCAAGGGGACCATAAGCCTATTTTGACTTCAAAACTCTGCCCTCCTATGCAATGGTAAATTTCTATGGTTTTAAATCACTTCATCTGGGGCTTTTTATTACTGGATCCCTTGAAAACAAATACAGTAAATGTACCACTTTTATCACCCAGTTTTACCAATTTGATAAAGAATCTGAAACAAATCATCAGGTTTTTCAAAACATATAAACAAACAAAAAAGTGATTTTGCTATTTGGAGACATGAACATTAATGTGTAATGGAAGAAAACCAAGCAAAATAAAGACATTTTTGGCAAATGATAGGATGTTCATTCAGATAATATGCAAATATCAATCAAGATTTTCAGCATAGAATTAGTTTGCTTAAGTAACTCAGTTCTAATCTAAGAGGAGAAGTATTCAACAACATACATCTTTGGAGTATTTATTCTTACACTATTGTTTTACTAGCAAAATTTGGAATATTTATACTCTGCATTATTTTTTTGCTAGGAAAATGAGTCATTTTTTTGTGTGTGGATGTGAGTAAGTAAAGATGGACATTTTAATGTTTAGTAATAATTTTAGACTCCTTACGATCAACTGTAAAGGTGGAAAATTTTCCCATGGTGAAAAATGTAGGTATTAGGCTAAGTGTTACAGAAAATTCCAAGTAATATTTCCTTTGTTAGTGGAAAAATAAAATGCATTAATTATGAGGTAATTTTGCTAATATTGATATTAATACCATTTTATACTAGGGGAATATTTCTATAGATTTTAATAACATTAACTGTTTAAATCCAACCATACATTTAACTGATGCTCTTTCCAAAATAATATAATTCACTTTAACAAAGTTTTATTGAGTATCTACAACTCAAAGTATATCTTATGTATATTTATTTTCCTCCATCGCATGCTACTTCCTGGTCCGCGGTGTACTCTAGTGAGTAATTAATCACATGAAGTACTGGAGCAATAGATTGCCCTGAAGATTCGAACAGTATCAGTCCTGTTCTCAAGTACATTACAGTCTATTTGGGAGACAGATAGTTAACTTGGTTCACATTGACAGAAAGACTCCATGGAGTTCTGTAGGGTGACATAGAAAGCCAACTTCATCCAGACCAGCTGGTAAGAATATCCTCGAGAAGACGGCATTGAGCTTAAGTCCGAAGTATCAGTAGGTGTTAGCTACATAAAAGAGTGAATCATTCATGACACCAGAAGGAACAGCATGACCGATCTAATATTCTCAGGCTGGTTGTGAACCAGATAATTCCATCTTTATGGTAATTTAAAATATAAAGGAAAAAAATGGCAGGAATTAGGTCAAGTGGCAGCAAACAAAAGGTAAGACTTGGGCATCCTTTATATATGTAGCGGTCTCTTTAAGGTAACAAAATGTCTACCTGAATGTCAAATCAAATTCTCAACTACTAGAGAGTTCACTGAGAAATTGTTTTATGCTCTGTGAAATAGAGAGCAGATACCATTGCATTACTAAAACTATCATACATGTTCCAAAGTGACTGTAAATCAATAAGTATGTCACATAAAAAGAGGTATCATTCTCTCACTTAAACCAAGACTTCAGCTTCCTCACCTCAATTTGAAGGGATTAATTGATGTTTAGAATATGTTAATAGTGATTGCTGTGCACTGATTGCCCTGACAAGATACGGAATTCTCTTCCGTTTTCTGCTTTGTAACTTGTAACCCCTGCGATAGAACTGAATTGGCTGCAAGCTGATGCTACTTGAAGATATGATAACAACCAAAAGACGTTTTATAGTGTAAGAAAGAGATCTGCTCAAATCCATCCTAACCCAGTTTTTCTAAAGACTTCTCGCTATTCTTCAGAGAAACACATTATATCCTGGTTGTAGATACTAAAGACCTTGACACAACATAGCTTTACCACTTGTGAGGCTTTGAGGAAAACATAAATGATCTTTGAAGTTGCCAAAGAGCAGTGTCTGCCAAAAGTAGTTTTTTTTTAAGAGTTCTGAGTAATAGTTGCCCTCAACAACTAAATTTTTTAAGCATTTTACAAGCCAGTGCCTGAATCGTGGCATCCCTTTGAATAATACTTGTTCACAAAACAATCTAAAGAGTAAAGGCTAATGACAAATATTAGAAAAATAAATACCTTTAGTGGACTGATTTTTAATGTTTTATGTTTAAAGATACTAAATGTGTTTACATAGCAGGCCTGCCTGCGTAGTTTATGTGCAGTTATATTGACGAAATAACTTTCTCCCCTGATATTTTAACCAAGCTAAGTGTACCATTGGAGGTTTTTAAAATAAAATATTTCATTGTATTATATAAACAGAATGTTTCATACAATATTCCTTTACATCTATCAATCAGGCAACAGGTTTGACTGTCTCAGATTTTTTTAAGTTTTTCAAATTTATATCTTATTACACTGTCAACCCTCTGTCTCACCATTTATAAAAATGTGTTCTGGGATTGTAATCTCTAGGTAGTAAGACTCTGTGAGGGGTCTGAAAGAGACCCCATCTGAAAGAGCTGGACATGGTGATGCCCACCTGTAGTCCCAGCTATGTGGGAGGCTTAGGCAGGAAGATTACTAATTGTGAAATAGCAAGAAGTTTTCTAAAACACTTCATCACACACACTCACACACACACACATACACACGCACACACCAACACAAAGTAAAAAAAAAAAAAAAAAAAAAAAATCCTCCCTTGAG